TCACTCACCCTCCGGCCAACTAGCCTTCTGTATCAGGTGTGATGGATGCCAGGATGTTATCTGCATTACCATACTGAAGCAAGAGTTAATATCTATCCAGTCAGCTCCTGTGTGTAGACTGGGGAAGGGTGCCATGTTGCCCATTTCAAACACCAAAATATATTGACCTAAGCTGTTGCTAATTATCAGAAGAGGGCAGCATGAACACAGCCTCAGATGCTGCATAGGGCTCTGGAATGGCATGTAGAATTCCTTCTCTAGCTGGAAATATATGTAAACAAGCTGCCTTCTGAGGACATGTGCCTCTAGGCAGAATAGGCAAAGTGCAGCTGATGGGCTAAAAGCCCATGGGACTAAAAACTGCCAGTGCAGCTTTGCACCAATAACTAGTGGCAATTCATGAAATCACAGCTTTCCAACATAAAACTAAATCTTGTGATGTGACTTCTTATTGTTTTCTGCCTTTTAAAATTTTTTATAAAGTATTCAACACCTGGATTGCTTTAATCAGTCTTGAAATCTTTTAGTACCCAATTCTTAATTAATAAGGTATAGCAATGTTGTACTCACAACACTATAAAAGAAGAAAAGTTAGTTAACCATTCAGGTCATGCTCTGTATCTATATTGGCAGTGACCTCTTGGAAGCACCACCCCTGAGCTGCTAGGTAAAGGTTCCCCTTGACAATTTTTTGTCCAGTCATGTTCGGCTCTGGGGGGCGGTGCTCATCCCCGTTTCCAAGCCATACAGCCAGCTATGAGTCCAAAGACAATCTTCCGTGGTCACATGGCTAGTGCGACTTAGACACGGAACGCTGTTACCTTCCCACCGAGGTGGTCCCTATTTATCTACTTGCATTTGCATGCTTTCGAACCGCTAGGTTGGCGGGACCTGAGCTGCTAGTCAATGTATAAAACAGTCCTTGGACCCACTGAAATGGTCCACTGCTACTCTTGCAGTGAAACTCAGCAGTGAAAATGTCCATGACTCTGAAAGACAGATACCTATACTTAGTTGCTGTTGTTAATTTAGTATGAAAAAATAGTTTTACAAGCTAAAAAAATTAAATTATTTAACAGTAAAAGCAGATAGAATATTAAAACTGATAGCTGTAAAAACACATTAAAACTAATAGAAACATAATAGTTCTATGTTTAGACCGCCTGCCCTTAAGCAGCCAGCTACTGTATACCTTATGAAGTTGACAATCTCATCAACAGTGGTGATTTTTTTTTAATTGATCTTTTCCAACATCTTCCTTATAAGTCCCATGGTTCCAGTGAAATCACTTTCATTGTTGTGAAACAACTGGGAGCCTTGAGATGGGAGGTCAAAGTCATTGCAGTGCTGGTGATTTTTGGTACTTAAAGACATTTTCCCTCCTGTTCCTCCTGTGACATTTTCTTATGTTTAGAGGGTGTGTGTGAACTTATTCCAAACATTTATATGAACATTATCAAATACCCTTAAAAATAGTCCATTAAAGAGGAGACAGTTGTAATTCAAACAGGTTTATTTACTATGCTTGATGAAAATCAAAGCCTCTATGGGAATTCAACTTGAAATTGTAATAGGGCAATTGCATGGATTAATTAATTAATTTGCTGGCTGAATACAAAGTATTGGTTCTAACCCATAAAGCCCTAAATGGCTTGGGCCCAAGCAATCTCAATGATTGCATCTCTCTTTATGTCCTTGAATGTTATGCTTATCAGGAGAGGTCTTTATCTTGGTCCCACATCTTCACAGGTACGTTTGGTGGAAACATGGGAGAAGGCATTCTCTGTTGCTGCTCCCAGATTTTTATCAAACTGCATAATCCCATGTTATATCAAGTTTCTCCAGATATATTACCCTATAAGAACCACCTCTCCAATCAACATTTGTTGGATACAACATTCAATTGTCCCCAATGGCCATGTTGATTGAGAATGCTGCACTGAGATGAGAGTTGAAATTCAGGATTTCAAAAGATTTGTAGAATACTGGAAGAGTTTCACAGGATGTACCTACAATTACTATCCTTTTGAAGTGTTACTACATAGTTCTGGACTTCAATCCAACTGAACTCTGCACTAATGACATTTAAATTATCTCATATTAGTCATCTCAGGAACTGCAAAATAAACTGACAAGATCCTCACTTTATTTCCCTTTTAATCATCTAACGCTCATGTTATTTCAACAATATGTTTAATTTTCATTTTAGACATGTTTCTGTTTTGTAGCGCCAAAGAGGAAAGATGCTGAAGTGCATAAGCAGTTGTTTAACAAGCATACTTTTTCCATTAATTTGGACTTTCTAAAGCAAACTTTATATTGATAAATGGACGAAGCATATTCCAACAGATCTTTCAAACAAATATTTAGTGATTAGTCACAAAGATTTCATATCTGTTATGAAGAAATCCAAATAATATCCCTGAGTTTGATCCTAACTACTGTGAGTGGTCTTCCACTTATAGAATTGGTGTTTGTTTGTTTGTTGTTGTTTTTGCCTTCCCTTTCTGCTTCATCCTCATGCATTGAAACCCTGGTCAACTTGAAATCTGGAATATGTTCTAGAATCAGTTATGACGCTAAGTGACAACTGGAGTGTAAATATGAGAGGACAGATTAGAACAAGGGTCCTGTATAACTAGATGTATGTATGTTCTGTTCACAGAACTACAATTTTAAATCCGCCTAGGTGCTTATTTTACAGCAGGGATAAGCCACTTCAGTGAAACCAATAATGAATTTTCTTATTGGTTCGTAGGCCACCCTTCCAGTGCCACCCTTCCAAAGGGGCAATGTCAAAGAGGAGGAGTGTGGTGAAAGGCCAAAGTGGCTGAATGGCTTTTAAAATATCAAATTAGAGAAAGATAGATAACAGAATCTATTCCTGTAATTTCATTATTCATTAATATGTTATTAAATATTATTTATGCAATTAAATTAAAAATAACCCTCATCACAAACACAGAGAAACATACCTAATTATGCCGTTCATAATAAAGGTTTTTAATTTTTATACAGTGGGGTCTTGACTTGAGAACTTAATCCGTATTGGAAGGCGGTTCTCAAGTCAAAAAGTCTGTAAGTCAAGTCTCCATTGACTTACAGTGCATTGAAAACCGATTAATCCCATAACAGGCCGTTTTTGTTCCATTTTGGTTTTTTTCTGGTCTGTAAGTCAATTCTCAGTCTGCAAGTCAAACCTAAATTTTGCGGCCAGAGAAGTCTGTAACTCAAAAAGTCTGTAAGTCAAGCCGTCTGTAAGTCAAGGGTCCACTGTACATATATTTCTATTTTCTAAATTTTCCTACCATTTTATTTCAAAAATTATTTTTCATTCCTTCAAAACCAATACCATTCCTAATTCATTCGGAGACATTTCAGCAGTAATTTACAATCCGACATTTTAATGTCCAATTAATATTCTGAACATTAGTAGTTTAATAAGATAACAGTGAGAAGCAGAAACACCAGTAGCAGTAGCACAACCACCAGAGGATCGTAGTCGGGGGTTCTCTTTGCCAAGAGAGTCCCTAACCACTGAGGCATGCAGTACAAAAGGACAAGGAAGGATGTCATCATCAAGGAAGTGATTTATGCTAATTGAAGAGTTCAGAATGTAATCAAGACAATATAATCAAGACAGAACTTTAATTTTCTGCCACAGAAAAAGAAGTAAACAGTTTTTAAATATAGAACAAGTTAAAATAAGATAAAGTAAGGTAGAATGACCACTGTAAAATCACTAAAACTGCTCAGAAGCTGTACAACTGCTTTTTGATTATAGTACAGTTTAAGAAATATTTTGAGGGTCTTGGGAAGCACAAAAATCCTGAGGGGACAGCATGAGTCTCACAGGCTGGACTTTGCTTTCCCAGTGGCAACAGTTCTACACTGATTTTCTGACAGGAAAGATTCACACACTTATGGGATATGTCCCAAATGATTATACTGACTCTCCCAAAAATGAAATTGAAGTTAGACCGTAACAGAAAGGCCTTGAAACCTGGGTAATCAAACTCCAATTTTCTGAAGGCCTAGGTATCTCAGGTGCTGCATAAACTGTTCACACATTCACATTTTCTGTACAAACGGCATACTTGTGGCTCCTCCACTGTTTGTTCCAACTTTTCATGATGCTTCAAGTGCTGATTTATTTTTTCTGATAGCAACCTCTTGAGCACAAAGAATTGTTGAAGTGTTTTATCTTCTTTTCCCAAAAATTATCCCAGTCAATCAAGAATCAGCCAATGAATATAAAAATATTGTATTGCCATGTAGCCAATCAAATTTGGTTAATGGACATAATCACAGAGCCAATTCAAAGTGAGGACATGCTATATCTAATGTAAATGGGCAAGTACCTTTGCCTGTTTATAGCCATTCTGAACAAGTGTGAGAAAGTCAAGTCCTTCCAAGTCAATGAAGGGTTGTGTGAAAAATAACATTTCCATAAGTGAGTCCTAGTAAGCTCTAGATAGCCTCTATTGCATATCCTTCATTCCTTTAGGTCACTGAAGAAAAGAGTGTCATGCACTCTTTGCTCATATGCCAGGTGATAGTGGAGTTACAAAATTCATTTTTACTGGATTCCTGGTCCTGCTTACCTAGGAGTAAATCTTAGGAAACTCAACGGTGTATCTCTGAGTAGGCACACATGACACTGTACTTTTATTTTTACAGCACAACTCTATGTATGTTCACTCACCAGTGAGTCACATTAAATACAAGTTGCCTTACACCTGGGTAAGAGCTACAAATTACAGCTTTCATTTGCTTTGACTGGCTTTCCTCTTCTTTAGTAGATGTAGTTGGATGGAATAACCAGAAAGCTGCCTGTGATATCCTGCATGCCTCAGCATAACAAGCCAGTTTCTAGATATAGTCAACCCATGGTATTAGCTGATGGAATTCTGAAATTTAAATAATGTCTGAACCATTCTTCTTCTTGATCTAGAAAAAGAATTTATATTTGGTGCAAAGGGTTCAACACATACACTTACCAGTTATTTTCTGCAGCAAGAGAGACAGCTTGGGTTCATTGCAAATAGCCTGGACGAGGGCTTCCTTCACAGCTTTTTCACTCTCCTCTAATTCTTTCCCAGTTTTGGCATTCCCAGCTATGGAGTAAATATACACCAACAGCACAAGGACATCTTCAGGAGTATAATCGTTATCGGTCCTGTTATTACGAGGCTTGATGATAGGCAGTAACTGGTTCAGGACATTAGGCAATGCTGAGTCCCCAATACTCTGAAAACAGGGAAACACAAGGACCTCTTACTACCACTGTATCACACAAAAGTATTCAATTAAAAAAAAGAATTAATCTTCAGATGTTCAGGGTAAAGTGCACATTCAGTTTCTGTCCACTACACTGCATTAAGCTCTGTATAATAGATTGTTTGGAGTATGATCCCTGGAGAAGTTTTGGCCTACAATTCCCAGAAGGCTTTGCCAGCACAGCAAATGCTCAGGAACTGGGAAAACTTCAGCCCCAAAATATCTACTTTATGGTATCACATCTCACTATTTTGTAAGCACACTCAGCAAGATAATCATTGGTCTATTTCAGTAATAGGGGCTAAAATGACAATTGAAACCCTATTCTATAACTGTGATTTTCAGAAATTAAAGATTCATCCACGCACCATAAGGACCTCGTGCCTTCTCCACAATGAAAGGCATCCCGCAGGAACCTCAGGATTCAGAAATGTTTTATTTCTGAAAAACTGCCACAGCTGGTGAAGTCATATGGTAAATTTTCTTGAAGTCTCAAGACTCAGTTACTTGGCACAACTGTCTCTCCAGGTATTTCTGAATTTTAATTCATCTCTTTTGTCACAGTTGGGGGAAAAAAAATATCCAAATTTGACAAAGAATAAGCTTTGAAAAAGAAAACTGGTTTCCATCTATGTATAAGGAGCAGCCAATGCAGCATTAAAAGAAGACCAAATACTGTCACACTTGGGGAAAAAAAATCCAAATTTGACAAAGAATAAGCTTTGAAAAAGAAAACTAGTTTCCATCTATGTATAAGGAACAGCCAATGCAGCATTAAAAGAAGACCAAATACAAGATGGATTTACTCTGTAAAGGAAGCTAAACTGTAAAGTTTGTAAAAGCTGAGCAGGGCTATTGAGGACAGGATGTTCTGGAGGTCAGTAATTCCTAGGATTGCCATACTCTTGTAACAACAAATTTGGCCACATTGGGATCTGAGACAATGTTCCATCAACCTAACTGGTACAAGAGGGATGCTATTTGTTTTTTTAATGTGACAGATAATATTTTCCAGTTTGTTTGTTCTCCTTTTGTTTCATAATTAAGATTTGTATTTACAGGTATTGAGCAAGTAGCAGCCAAGAATTTTTTAATGGTCTACTTAATAGTTTGCATGGAGAAAGAGATTGTGTTACAATCCCTGATTCAGCCCTCACACCCAAATCTTCTTGGCTAAAGGTTAAAAAAAAGAAAGAAAGAGAGCCAGTCACGGCTGTCAAATTTGGCCGAGGACTGAACTCTAAATATTTTCACTTTTAAGAAGCAGCATCTTTTTATTGGTTTGTAATGGAAGGCTGGCTTATCATAACCTTATGCCACAGTGCCTATCCTAGGGTCAAGAAACAGCCTTCTTAGGTATTTGGAGTCCTATATTTAAAGCATCCCCACAACATTTTAAAGGAAGTTCTAAAATTTTTGTTACTAGAGAAATACAACTTGTCCATTTAATTAAAAAGCAAATTATAGCCAATACCATTTAAAACACTGCTTGAGGTGTGCGCTTCCCAAGAAATCATGGGGAAAGTGTGAAAGACAGAAGCAGAAGCTTCATCTTTACTGAACAGACAAACACTAAACCAATCATTCAGCCTGAAGATATGTGTTTGGCATTTCAGGAGTGGGGTCTGATAGGGCATTTGTGCAGTTGTTAAATCTACTTTTAAAAAACCCTGGCAACAGGCATGGTCTACAAAACCTCCGTATTAGTATCACAGTATTGGTGTTTGGAAAGAATGCCTGGGACAAGGGAGAGATCATGTTAGATACCCATTTCTAGAACAGAACAATTGTTTCAGGAGTGACAAATTCCTCTAATGTTCACGCACTTTCCGGGTGGTGGACAGACATGATTTTCATAGCAGTGACTGCATGAAAGCAGTTTCCACACAGAAGGACCAGGGAACAGCTTAGTAAGGAGTAAGCAACCCTGAGTTTTCAACACCAGAATGGACTTGAACGTGGAATAGAGCCTGGTCTTGGAAACTGTGGACTGGGCCAGGGTAACATATGCTCCAGTTACATCATATCCTGATTACTACACTGTGTTTCACATTTGACTGCCTTTGAAGAGTGTTCAAAAATGACAAAGTGGTACAAAATATGGCTATCAGGTCCACAGGGGCTATGTAGGGAGCATGCAGTCACCTTACTGAACAAGCTATACTAGCTTCTGTTTTTGAGACTAACTCAAAATCCCAGTGATGATCCTTAAAGCCTTTTAGCCCTATAGTATTCTGATTCCCCCACCCCCACGTCTGCATGTATTCTGAAATCTTCAAAAATATGTCTAGCCAGGACCAGAGAGATGATGATTTCAGAGGCTATACCAAAGCTCTGGACCCCCATATAAAAAAAGCTTGTGTCATTCTTTCTTTAATGGCTGTCAAAACCATGGACAAAATTTTACATTCTAGAGAGGCTTTTTGATTGTCACTGGTTGCGTCTTCTTAAAGCTATTTCAATGGCTATGCCTACTGGGGCCGGGGCTTTCACATCTTAAGGGCTTCCATTACTCGGTGAGGCTGAATTACGGGAGCAAAAGCCCCTTAAGCCAACACTCTATCTGGAGGCAGCCTCTATTGGAACTCACCCTCTCATGCACCTTTGTGAGTCACAGGAAATCCTTGTAACTCCTACAGTGTGATGGAACACTTTTCTTCTTCCCTGCCATTCCCATACAAGGAAGCTGTATGGGAATGGCAGGGAGATGAGAGGGCTGTTCCATCTCCTGCTGGTCTTGAAGACTTTCACTCCCATAATTCAGCCGGGGGTGGGGGTGTCTTTACGTCCTTAAGATAGGAAAACCCCATCCCTAATCTGTAAACTATTTTTCATGGCTGTTTGTATTTTTAAACTTTTACTCTGCCTTTTTAGTGCCTCAAAGCTGAGTTTAAAATGTTTTCATTAATTAAATATATCAGTATTTATTAGTACAGTAATACCCAGCTTAATGCTTGGAATGTGCTCCAAGAAAATTGAGTGCTAACTGAATCAGCACTAAATGGGGCAATTTAACATTGTGCATTATGGGATAAGGCACATACACTGGGGAGAGGTGGAGCAGCAGTGCTAAGAATGTGATGCACAGACCTATAGTTCACCACTGGTGTGGCGACTGCCCACGTCACTCATGCCATACATATTCATGAGCTGATTTGCATGAACCTATGAGAGGACTGGAGAAGCAGAGTCACCAGCTACATGAGGATTGGCAGGAGGAGGAGGAGTCACATAGGGCTGGTTAGTCAGAGAGAGAGGGGAACAGATATTGAGAGAGATAGAGCTGGTTAGGAAAATAGGTCGAGAAGGTGGTAATGATATTGCAAGCGATAAGAACTATCTACTGACAGAACTGTTAATGAACTGCTTATGTATACTGAGTATCTGAAAGACTTATGTTATTATTATTATTCAATCTGCTTCACTTCAATAAATAAGTTCTGTTTCTGTTCACAAGACAAGTGTTCTGACATATGTCATTTATATTGTGGTTTGAAGTAATCCACTGGTGACAGCGAGAAGAAAATGAAATGTGAGCCTTTGTGAGGGAAAAACAAGCAGGGGCCACAAGGGCAGACGCCACAACTGGTTTCACCTGTGAGCAGGAAGCTATTGAGACTGCACTAGGATTGGATTCAAGTGCCGAGGCAGTTTTTGCAGCAGCTCAACTGACACAGGACTTGCAGCAGCTGTTGACAGACTAAGTGTTTCTCTTCCTCCTTACAGATTCTATTGTTTAGTATAGTAGATCACACTAAAGCAGGCACATTGAATCAATCTACTCCATGTCAGCAAACACGGGTTCGAAAACACACGTGTAAGCCTGGACAGAGAGCAATCAGGAGTTTGCACATGCTAAAATGGGCTGAGTGAGTCCAAACTCAGCTAGCCATGCTACAACACTCCCTCTTACAAGTCTGCCCACATAAAAACACCCTTGTACTCTCAGATATTACTGTGAAAAGATCAAGTGGGCTTTGTAGTCCTTAGACTTAACTTGCCCCACTGGCTGGACTCCTTAAGTATGCTAGGCCGAGGCAGCTCTCTCAGATGACCCTAAGACAAGTGTACTGTTCAGAAAACCAACTGAGTTTTATAATCTTTAATTTATTAAAGAATAACCATGTTACTAGGTATCAAAATCAAGCTAAGTTAAGGCAAGTAAATAAGCATTGTGTTAGTTATTTACAACTCTGCAGTGAGGCAAAGAAAACATGAAAAATAGAAAAGTGTTCAAAAACCTTACAAAAACACAAAAAGCCATTAAAAAGAATAACAACAGTTCCAGTCCAGTATTTCATTAGTAAAAACAAAATAATCCAAGTAGGTTATAAAAAGGCTATAGTCCTCAGTGATCCTGTAGAACAAAAATCCTGTACTAAAAAGAAAAATCCAGTAAAAGTCCCATTATCCTTAGAAAAGAAAACTCCAGTAAATGTACCATTGTCCTTACAAAATTACAAGAGCATAGTCCATATGGAGTATTCCCAAAATAAGAGTTCATAGAGAAATAATCCATAGTCTTTAGGAAAAAGCCCATAAGTCCAAGGGTAATCCAGTATAGTAAAGGTTAGTCCCATGTGTCACGAATGAATGAAGAGTCGGTCTTGAATGACAATGTCCATAGGCAAAAAGTTCCTTTTTCAAGAGTAACTGGCAAGGGCTTATCGCACCTTCCCACGATGTCATCCAATCAGAGTTCGTTACTAGGCAAACAGTCCTGTTACACCACATGACTTCTTTCCCATACACACCAGATGTTATTTGGGTTTACTGTGGTTTCGCAAAAAGTCACAACAATTCCCATCTAATCACACCGAGTCCTTTTCTCAGGCTATCAGAATAACATTCTCTGCTCGCCTAGAAAACAACCTGTTAGCATAGCAAAGATACTTTATACAAAGAAACAAGATGGAACCTCTCTTGCTCATTTCTTAATTACAAAACCCATATTCCTTAAAAGATTTTAA